AACTCACTCTGTAGACCAGGCTGGCCTCGAACTCAGAAATCCGCCTGTCTCTGCCTCCCAAGTGCTGGCATTAAAGGCGTGTGGCACCACTGCCTGGCTCAGTATTATTAAAATAGGAAAAAGACAGACAGTCAGACACAGATACAGGGGCTGATATATCTGGGCCTGTTTGTTGTGCTGATTTCCCCAAAGCCCTTCCTGAAGGGAGGTAGCATGGTCAGATCTCAATGACAACGTTTGTCAGCATCAGCTCTTCTTGAGAACAAACTATAACATCTTTCTCAGTTTTTAATCTATTCAATCATTTATTTGTTCATTCATTTATTTATTTATCAGTTTTTATTTGGTTTTGATTTTTAGGGGGACCTGAGGCAGGGAATGTTGTTTGTTAAAACAGAATATTATATTGCCCAAGCAAACTGCAAACTTGTAAGCTTCCTGTGTCAGGCTCTTGCGTCATTTTTCAGCTTCTGATATGAATACCAAAGCAGCCCTTAGTATAATAAGGGTCATGCTGCAAATGAGACAAGTTATGATTCTTAAGGATTCTATCTAGCTGCCTCTTTCTTTCTGACTGATACGGAAAACAGTTTATATCTTTACTATTGAGCTATTGAGTAGCTGTTTCACCTTCGTGTAGCTCTGAATCCCAGTAGAAAGTTGTTTAACGAAAAAGGAATTTATTGCCTTCTGTATAAGGTGAGTTTTTTGGGGAGGTGGGGGTTGTTTTGGATTTTGGGTTTGTTGTTGTTGTTGTTGTTTTCGGATAGAGGACATAGAAGAGCCATGTTAGAACCTCAGATTATTCACCCGTTCTTTTTTTTTTTTTTTCTTTCCACAGACTCTTTATCCAGACCAAGACGAACAGTCTTCACTAGAGCCATTGAAGGTCGTGAGTTACATTGGCAGGACAGCCACCTACAACGAATAATCAGCAGTGATATCTATACAGCTCCTGCCTGCCAGCGTGAAAATGAGCGACTACTCTTTAACTCCCATGGCCAGCCACTGTGGCTTGGTAAGTCTAGCCCTCCTGTGTTCCAAGAATATCAGGTTCCAATCCCACCTGTACCAGGCCCACATGAGCCATCAGCATAGGTCCCAGCAATACTAGCTACAATTTACAGTCTGTCCATCTCTTTTGGAGCATTTATTACCAATAATAAATAAATCAGGTCATCTATTTGAGGCCTACTTCATTTGTATGTATGCTTAGCTGAGATATAATAATCTCAAGTGGAAATATGTATCCTTTCCCTAAGCTTTGGGAAAAAGATAAAGCAGTTGATACATACTGAAGAGTGATAACAAAAGCCACTAGATATCAGTTCACATATTTTCAGTTATCTGTTACTAAGCAACATTATATTCTGCTCACAACTTTCATATTTTGCTTGCACGATGGGAACCAAGGAGGTAGCTTGGTCAGTAAGAACCAGAGTTTGATCCCCACAGCCCATGTAAATAATCCAGGCATGATAGTGTGTACTTATAGATTCCAGTACTAGGGAGGCAGAGACAGCAGATTCCAGCCTAGCTTAGCATAATTGGCTAGTTAAAGGATAGTGAGAGATTTTGTCTCAAAAACAAAAAAAAAGCCAGCAAGATGACCTAAGTTTGATTGCTGGAACCTCCATACACATGGCCCTACACTCACACACATAGACCAAATACATGAATGAAAAAAAAGAAACATTTTAAAAATTTTAAGAGGTGGATAATGTCTGAGGAGTAACACCCAAAGTTGTCTTCTAGACTCCACGAATATAAGCATACATGTTCACACACACATAAAAATAACACTGTTTGAAACTGCAGTTACTCCATGCTAAGAACTAGGATGCAGTCTGTGTTCATTACCAGGCTGTCTTCTTTTCTCTGTCTCATCTTCCTAGCATCCTTTATAACAGGATCGAGCTGTCTGATCTAGTTTAAACTTCTCCTGAAATAGTTATCTGGTTTACATCAACTTGTCCTTAGCTTTGCTAGAGTGCAAAAATATAAAATTCTAAAATATAGCTTGGGAGCCTGGTGTGGTGGTAACTTAACCTCAGAAATTGAGAGACAGGGTAGGTGGATCTCTGTGAGTTAGATGCTATGTAGCAAGTTCTAGACCATACTAGCTAGGGTTCAAGACTAGCTAGGGTTACACAGTAAGATTCTGTCTCCAAAACCCAACTAACTAAATAAAATAAATAAGCAAGCTAAGGGTGTCATTACAGTATAGAAATAAATGATGTATATCTGGGAATTGGAAACTACTTCAATGTCCAATAATATGGAATTGATAAACTAGTAGATGAATAGTCAGTGGGATGACATGTATTTATCTTGACTGTTGTACAAGAATATTTAGTGCCATATAAAAATATTTACAATGTACTTACTATTAAGTTGAAAACAATTATTATAATATCACAATTCTGATTTAGAAATTGAAAAACCTGGATAAATATACATGAAACTATAAAGAGTAGTTATCTCATTTTTATTTTGTATTTTCCTTATTTGTATCTTTAAATCTGCATTTACTATGTTTATTGTATATGTTTGTGTGTGCACATGTATTTGTATGTATGTGTGGTTACACGTTCAGATGTGTGGATGTGAAGGACAGAAGTAAATATCAGGTATCTTTCTCCATCTCTCTCCACTTTTTATTTTGAGACAGATATTTCAGTCTTTTCCTAAACCAGGGTCTTAGCAATTCAGCTAGACTAGCTAGCCAACAAGCCCCAGAGATCCTCCTGCTTCCATCTCTTAGTTCCAGTTATTCTGTAATTTTCAACATTAGCTCTAGAGGAAATGACAAAGCAAAAAGAAGGCTTGTTAGGATCATTCCCGTTTTGAGAAGTTAATAGTTACTGGGCATGGTGGCCCACTCAGGAGGCAGAGGCCAGCAGATCTCTGTGTACTATCTTTCCAGGCTATCTGTAGCCTCATAGCTTAGCTCTAGCTACCTTGAACTATTTGCCATACTCCAAAGAAATTATTTAGACTTTCTTTATGGTCTTATTTATATGTGATTGATCATATATGCTCTTTGTTAAGAAAGTCTTCCTTGTTTACCTCCCTGATCATAATCATTCTTGTCCTTCAAGCATAACTCAGATATCTTTGGTATAGGTATTTGTCATGTCAGTGTCCTATCATTGTCTGTTTAGGTTTCATTCATGAGAACCTTAGTGCAGCTGTCACGTCTTCTCTATTTTTGTGCTTCCTTTGCCCAGTATACTACCTGGCATATAATATAGGTCCTCAGGAAACATTGGGTTATTAAATGAATATATTAATCATTTGATAATGAAGCTAGACATGATAGTACATGCTTATAATCCAAAAACTTGAAAGCAAGGGGAATCGGGAATTTAAGGCCATTGTCAGCTGCATGTTTAGAGTTCACAACCAGCCTAGGCTACATGACATCCCACCTCCAAAAATAAAACTAATCATTTGATGCTGAGGCTTTTCCTTTAGACAGCTAGTTGCTGCCTCCACCAGGTTCCCATAGTGCATGTTCACGGAGAATCTGCTTTTTATTGTTCTATTTGTATATCCCTAAACCATCACGCTGAGGCAAGAGGAACCCTTTCAAGATGGCTTCTTCCACTTATATCCTCAAAGATAAAAAACATAGTCCCTGTTCTAAAGCCAAGTTGAATCTGAGAAACTGGACTGAACACAGGCCCCTTTGTCTGTCAGACATAGGACTTTCATGATTTAAAATTTTAACTCAAATAAAATATTTTCTTCCTTCCTGGTAGAGCATGTGCCTACAGCCTGTGCTCGAGTTGATGCGCTACGATCACATGGGTATCCAAAAGAGGCTCTCAGACTCACGGCGGCCATCATTAATACTCTGAGGTTGCAGCAGCAGCGGCAGCTAGAGATCTACAAACATCAGAAGAAAGGTAAGTGATTAGGAATCCTCTAACATCCTGGTATCTAAGGATGATAAGGACCTGCAGGAGATAAAAAGACAAAGAACCTAATTTTCACTCAGTACCATGACCTTGAGAATTCCATGTAATTCTACCGGCTGAGTGGAGTGCCTTCACGCTATTCCTGTGAATCTCAGCTTTATTTATTGTCTGTAAAATAGGAACAATGAGCCTGCTTTTCACAGGAAGCTTCCAGGCTTCCACATGGAAGGCCCACTAAGACCTGGAGAAGATGGCTTTTGAAACTTGTAAAGCTGTCTTCATGTATGAACTGCCAGCAGACAATATAAACTAGACCTGGCTGGTATGTTTTTCATCAGGACAGTCAAACAAAGACATGACAATAAGAGGAGCTTTTCTTTGATTTTCTGGTCAGGGACTGACTGATGCTGATTAGGAAATGAAAGCAGAAGAAAAGCACATTCCCATCTCTCTGTCTAAAACTTGAAACCCACTTATTTCCAGAGTTGTTGCAGAGAGGAACGACAACAATCACAAACCTGGAGGGCTGGGTGGGCCATCCCCTGGATCCCATTGGCTGCCTGTTTCTCACTTTGACTGAGGCCTGCCGCCTGAATGATGACAGCTACATGGAGATGTCAGGTACAAGGGTCAGCCTGAGACACACCATCTCTCTGCCAAACTCTGTGGTCTGGCTGTGTGTATCCTGCTTCCCTGCTTTACCTTACTAGCTTTCTTAGGGGAATAAGAAAGGTTAGAGGAATTTTAGGAGTCAGAGGAAGAATGTTCAGAGCAGTGTGTGTGTGTGTGTGTTAAAATATTCATGGCAGTGCCCATCTGTAACCACAGCTACTCTCAGTGGGCTAAAACAAGAAGATCATTTGAGCTCAGGGTTTTAAGGCTAGCCGGAACACTCCCCCACCCCTCTTCTTCCTCCTCTTCCTCCTCCTCCTTCATTTTTTTAAGCTAAGTATGGTGGCTCAGGTCTATAATCTCAGCACTCAGGAGGCTGAAGCTGGTGAATTTCAATAGAAAAGTTCATCTTGGACCACATAGTACAAGACCCTGCCTCAAAAAACAACACAAAGTAGGGGGCTGGAGAGAGAGCTTAAAGGTTAAGAGCACTTCCAGAGGTCCTGAATTCAATTCCCAGCAACCACATAGTGGCTCATATCCATCTATACTGTAATCTAATGCCCTCTTCTGGCATGCAGGTATACATGCTGACAGAGACGCATGCATGTTAAATAAATAAATTTTTTAAAGAAACAACAACAAAGTATCTTTTCTTTAAAATCACATAATACTCTTAGTGGGATCTTGTTGCACTTTCCCTTTGGCTCTCCAATCCTTGTGATCTCTGCTGAAGAATGTAGACAGTGCTAGGTGTGATGGCACGCATCTGTAATCCCAGCACTTGGTAGGCAGAGGCAAGCAGAGCTCTATGAGTTAGAGGCTAAACTTGTCTACACATAACAAGTTCCAGGCTAGCCAGGGCTATGTAATGAGACCCTGTCTCAAAAGCAAACAAGTTTAAAAAAAAACCTAGACAAGACACATAGAGTGTAGTATGGAAGATCCTTGGACTCTATTAAAGTATGGTGGTACATTCTCAAAGGGAGAGTGGACGGTGGTCAGAGGGGCCATTGCACAGCAGAACATCTTCAGAGAAGGAGCAGTGACTAAAGAGATTACAGTTTTAAGTAGGTTTTATAGTAAGTATTTCTGAAACTGCTGGAACAGACATCTGAGGGGCACCTTCCTGTCAGGTGTTAAGAAAGAAGGCAGTTGGTGGTGGTGGCACACGCCTTTACTCCCAGCATTGGAAAGAAGAGGCAGGCGGATTTCTGAGTTTCAGGACAGCCTGAGTTACACAGAGAAACCCAATCTTGCAAATGGAAAGGAAGAGGAAGAGAAGGAGGAGGAATAAGAAGAAGAAGAAAAAGGAGAAGGAAGAGGAAAAAAGGAGAGAAAGAGTGTAGACAGACCATGATAACTCTTTATTCTTACCAGGAAACGTCTAGCTAAGTAGTCATTTTTCTCCCACAGAATAAAATGCCATTTCTGTACCCAGGGCCAGAGATAAGCCTCATTTCCCACCCAGCTCTACTTTCTTTATTTCTTTTTTAAAGAGGTATCAGGTCCCCCTAGAGCTGGAATAGGAAGTGGTTTTGAGCCACTTGACATAGATGGTAGGAACTGAAGCCACCTCCTCTGCAAGAGCAGTAAAAGCTCTTTACTGCTGAGCCACCTCTCCAGCCCCAGAGCCAGTTCTTCTGACTAGGAGTCAAATCCCTGAAGTTTGAGACCCTCATTTTACAACTGCCAACTATGAAGGAGTCAGTCCCCAGCGACCTTTAAGCCTGTCAGCATCTAACTAGCTTCCTAGCTGCACTCTGATTTTCTTTTAACATTTTCCCTCTTGGTGGGTTTGTACCAATTTCCCAAACAGAAAACAGCAGGCTAAGTGGTCCACACCGAGTCTAGATACATGATTGTTCTTCTTCCCCATGCTATCACTGGGTTGAATTTATTTGCATTTGCTTTAGTATTAGTATCTCTTACCACACTATCAGCTACTTGCAAGCAGACATTGACTACTCTTCATGTGCTCCTAGCATTACCTGCCATTTAATTGTCTCCCAGAGCTACTTAATAGAAAAAGGGTGGGGGAGAGAAAATCAAGATCTTTTTTGTTTTGCTTTTGAGATTATAATATACTGCTTCTCCCTCCCCATTCTTCCCTCCAAACCCATACACATACCCCTTTTTATTCCCTGTGCTGTTCTTGAACCCGAGGACTCAAGCCATCCTCTCACCAGTGACCTACCTAAGAAGCTAAGACTACAGGCATAGGTTATCATACCCAGCTAGGATGTTGGGTCTTAAACCACTGTTCACGTCCTGAAATCCTTAGTGGAGTATATATAACATCACAACATAGAAGATGCAGGTGTTTCCAAAGTAAGAGTGAAACTGGATGGAGTCAGGTATCTCTTAGTAGATATAAAGAGTTAACCCAAGCCAAGCTAGGACAGGCCTGATTGTCTTAATGTCCTGCAAAGGGAATCCACATCTTTAGTCACCTTCATCGGCACAACGGACACTTAGCTTAAAAGGCCTAAAGCTGCACTTGCTTTATCTGTTTACCACTGACATACATTGCTCTTCTAGAGTCAGACTCTGGAGAAACCTAGAACAATGAGATGCTCTCATCCCCTAAAGGTGCTCACATTGAGATAATGAAAATGGACACAAAAACAATTACGATTCTATTGTACATTGGCAAAAAAAAAAAAAAAATAAGACTTTATGCTTCCCTGCCTGGCCTACCCAATTTGTGTGTTATGAAGGGATGATTTTTTTTGTGTGTGTGGTTCTCATAATCTTTTTTCAAGTGTATTTTTCTTACTGCTTTGAGGTTCTGATTTAGCTTTATATTGACCATTAAACAACTGATATCCCAAAGTGGGACAGGCAGAAACACAGGAAAACCCACTAGACCTGTCCTAAGCAACCTGGTACACTTGTTGTCCTCAGATATGAGTGAAAGCAGACTTCCTGTGTACCAGCATGTACCTGTGGCTTCAGGCTGCCCCAACAGCAACGAGTCATACCTGTCATTGGCCCTGGAAGTTGCTCTGATGGGCATGGGTCAACAGAGAGTGATGCCTGAAGGCCTCTATGCACAGGACAAGGTATGCCGTAATGAGGAGCAACTCCTAAGCCAACTCCAGGAACTGCAGCTAGATGACGAGCTAGTACAGACACTACGGAAACAGTGCATCTTACTACTGGAAGGTAAGAAGAGAGGGGGCTATGGTAGCAACACCTTTAGTATGACTCTAGGCTCCCCTCTCTGACACAGCACACTCAGAAATATTTATGACATTAAAGAGTAATGAAGGTTAGCATACAAATTCAGATGGGCTCCTGGGCTCACAAGTCTAGGCTAGAATACACATATAAAAATAAACAATCAATCAAATAATAACTGACTGGCTCATCTTCTTCCTTCAGGAGGCCCCTTCAGCGGTCTAGGAGAAGTTATCCACCGGGAGAGTGTCCCCATGCACACCTTTGCAAAGTATTTGTTCTCAGCTCTGCTGCCTCATGATCCAGACCTGTCTTATAAGTTAGCCTTACGTGCCATGAGGTGGGTAGCCCATGTTTAGCCTGATGCCTCGGCCACAGCAGACATCTTCAGTGCCTCTTTCTCTGCCTATCCTACCCTCCTTTCCCCTTTGTCTCTTTCCCAAAACCAGGACCTAGGTATTTTTATATGAGCTAGGCTCTGGGACTCTTTATTAATGAAACACTTGACCCCTCCACATATTTAGGGTAAATTGTCTGAGCAGGCCCCCCCAATATATAATAGATATGGCACCTCCCTGTTTTGGAACCACTTGGGTAGCCTGAGAAGGGATTTATATCCTAACATAACTCCATTCAGTCATGGATCCAGGTACAGGTTCTCAGAGGAATATAGGAAAGCAGAGATAAATATGTATACTCCAAGACTCAAAAACAATGCTCTATAAGAATCTTGTTTTCAAACAAGAATAGGATTCCTGGTTTACATATGTAGATCTGTAGGATATAGCAAACCATATAGAGAAAGAATTTTAATTAGGCCATAAGACTGAGAGAACTGTTTAGCTAAAAAGGAAATTCCTTAGCATATGTTTCTTATGCTCTTCGAAATAACCCAATGGCACTGTATATGTCTGTCAAATCTTGTTATAGTGGAAACTGTTCAGCTCGAGGTTTCCAAGTACCCAAGCACCTGCCTGACATATATTGTGGGTTTAAAACCCTTCAAAGCTCTTAGCCTGTCTTTCCCTAACCAATTCCTCCCCAGCAGAAAGCAAACTTCCCTAAAGAGGGTCACAATGGCCAGAGTCTAAATGAAGCTGATGGCACTTCCTGGGTCTTCTAGGTTACCTGTTCTAGAAAACTCATCTTCTGCAGGAGACACTTCCCACTCCCATCATATGGTGTCGGTGGTGCCCAGCCGTTATCCTCGCTGGTTCACTCTTGGACACTTGGAATCACAGCAGTGTGAACTGGCCTCCACCATGCTGACTGCTGCCAAAGGTAAGCACAGGTAGACATTAGATCCAACATCCCCACTATGCCCACCCAGAGCCCAAAGTCTCCTGAAAAAGAGAAGCTATGTGTTCGGTGTTGGCAGGAGCAATGGGGATCTTCATGTTGACTGAAAGAGCACCTGAATTCAGACCAGAATATTGCCTTAGTTACTTTAAAATCATAAGACCCTGAATATATAGAATCAAATGACTTTTGCATTTCCTAAAAAAAAAAAATTATTTCACATTATGTGTCTGTGGACATGAGTGCCAGTGTTCAGTGAGGTCAGAGGTTTCTGATCCCCTCACAGATGGAGTTATAGGTGGTTGTGAGTCCCTGATGTGGGTTCTACAGACTGAACTTAGGTTCTCTGCAAAAGCAATATGTTCTCCAACCAAAACCCATCTCTCTAGTTCCACATTTTATTTGTTTATGTTTATTTGTTGTTTATTATTTGTTTGAGACAGAGTTTTTTCTATGTAGGCCTATCTGTCTTAGAACTCACTCTGTATACCAGGCTAGGCTGGTATTCACCCAGATCCTCCTTGCCTCTACCTCCCAAGTACTAGGATTAAAGGTGTGCACCACCACACATGGCCTCATAATCAGATGATTTTTAAGTTAACTTCTAAATGTAATCTTCCATCTGATAAAGTCAATTTAGTTTTCCAATCTCAATTTCAGAATCTATATAATGGAGATCATTATGAGTGACTTCTCAGCCTCAAAGCCCTATAACTTCCATACTAAATCAGAGTGTGTGATTATTCTACCACACTCTGTTAAAGGGTAGAGTACGGGCTGACTCTGTGCCCTTGGGAGCTTATGAAATCATGTTAGCTCTGCAGGCTTCATCACAAAAAGAAGTGAAGAGAAGCTGTAGACAAAGAGCTGCAGTGAGACCCCAGCCGCTGTGGGCCCTGAGCATTTTGTATCATGATACTGTGGACTTTTATTTTAAGATGTCTTTTTATTTCTCTTTCTCTTTTGTTTCTTAAGACAGGGTTTCTCTGTGCAACTCTGGCTGTCCTGAAACTTGCTCTGTAGACCAGGCTGGCTTCAAACTTGGATCCACCTTCCCCTGCTTCCCAAATGTAGGGAGTAAAGGCTGTTGCCAACCACTGCCTGGCTGTGTTGTTTTTGTTTTTTCTTTTTTCTAATTAAAAATATCTTTGGTGGTGATGGGCCTTCAGAAGTTAAAAGAGGCATCGGATCCAGGGAGCTGGACTATAGGCTTTGTAAGGTGTCTAATATGGTTGTTGGGATACAAACTTGGATCTTAATGGTGGAGCAGCAAGTGCTCTTAGCTAACAACCTGTCTCTCCAGCCCATGAACTTGCCTTTTATAGATGTTTTGGAAGATAAACTCAGAAATGGTAAATCTGCAGCATGGAAGTTTATTTCTTTTTTTGTTTGTTTGTTTTGTTTTTTTGTTTTTTGTTTTTCGAGACAGGGTTTCTCTTTATAGCCCAGGCTGTCCTGGAACTCACTCTGTAGACCAGGCTGGCCTCGAACTCAGAAATCCACCTGTCTCTGCCTCCCAAGTGCTGGGACTAAAGGTGTGCGCCACCACTGCCCGGCAGAAGTTCATTTCTTTATCCACCTAAAGTTGTGGCAAAATAAGGTTATTTTGTGACCATCAATTTTAATATTATATTAATATATATAATAGTATATTTATATATAATAGTATATATTTCTGTGTCAGTAAGACATAAAGTGTTAATATCTCCAAGTTCAAAACCCCTCAGATCAAGTACAGTATTGATTATAAAAGTGTGTTTTCGACTCAGTGTAAGAATTTATATCCCAAATATACAAAGAATTCTTAAACTTATCAAGAGTCTGGGGATACAAGCCAGTTGGTATGTGCTTAGCATGCTTGAAGCCCTGGGTTTGAGCTCCAGCACTGCACAAACCAGGCATTGCAGTACACATCTATAATCACAGCATTCAGGAAGTAAAGGAAGGAGGCTCGGGAGTTCAAGGTCAGACTCTGCTACATAAGTTCAAGGCCATCCTGGAATACATGAGACTATATTTCAGATTGAGATAAATCAATTTGTCTCCAACAACAACAACACCCAGAAAGTTAACAGCCCAATCTTAAAACTTACGAAGCCAGAAGTAGCACATGCCTTTTTAATCCTAGTACTCAGGAGGCAGAGGCAGAAGGCTCTCTGAGTTTGAGGCCAGCCTGGTCTACAGAATGAATTCTGGGACAACCAGAACTACATAATGAGACTCTGTCTTAAAAATAAAATAGGGCTAGAACTTTTCTTCCAGGAGTCCTGAGTTCAATTCCCAGCAACCATATTATGGTTCACAACTATCTATAATGATATCTGATATCCTCTTCTGTCATGCAGGCATAGATGCAAGCAAATGGAGCACTCATATACATGAATAATCTTGTTTGTTTGTTTGTTTGTTTGTTTGTTTTTTAAAAGATTTATTTATTTATTTTATTTATGAGTACACTGTCGCTGTCTTCAGACACACCAGAATAGGGCATCCAATCTCATTATAGATGGTTGTGAGCCACCATGTGGTTGCTGGGATTTGAACTCAGGACCTCTGGAAGAGCAGTCAGTGCTCTTAACCGCTGAGCCATCTCTCCAGCCCCAAACAATTAACTTTTTTGTTTGTTTGTTTGTTTTGTTGTTTTTTTCAAGGCAGGGTTTCTCTGTGTATCCCTGGCTGTCCTGGAACTCACTCTATAGACCAGGCTGGCCTCGAACTCAGAAATCCGCCTGCCTCTGCCTCCCAAGTGCTGGGATTAAAGATGTGCACCACCACCTCCCGGCCATACATGAATAATCTTTAAAAATAAAATAAAATTAAAACTGACCAAGGAATTGAAAAGATATTTTGCCAGAGAAGATCTACAGATAGCAAACAAGCATAAAATGATATATATAAAGTATAAAATGATATTCAGGATATTACTAGGAAATTGTAAATTAAATCAAGATACCACTATATACTGTTAGAATAGCTAAGATCAAAATATTGACAACAGCATGGAACAATAGAAATGCTCTTGCCGAGGGAATGTAAAATAGCACAGCCACTTTGGAAAACAGTTTGGCAGGGTTTTGGTTTTGTTTTGTTTTGTTTTGCTTTGTTTTGTTAACAAAGCTAAATGTAGTCTTAACATGTTCCAGCAGTCATACTCCTAGGTATTACCCAAAAAAGTCAAAAACATATACATACTCAAACCTACACAGGAATATTCATGTATCTATTCATAATTGTCCCCAAAGCAACCAAAATGTTCTTTACAAAGTGAAAAGATAAACTGTGATATATCCATACAGTGAATTGTTATCTAGCAATAAAACAAAATAAACTTCACACACAGGAATCTGAATGTGTATTGCATATTCCAAGAAGCCAATCTGAAAAAGCTATGTGATTCCAACTCAATAAAATTGTAGTTGCTAGGGTCCAGAAGAAATGGGGAAAGGTTTTAAGAACACAGGAGTTTTCAGAGCAGTGACACTAGCCTGTATGACATTGTGATTATGGATCCATGAAACTGTGACACAGAGACAATGTACTTTAAAGTATGAACTTCACTTAATATTTCAATTGGGTCACCAAATATTTTTGGGAGAGAGGAGGGGCTGGAGTGATAGCTCAGTGGACCTGGGTTTAATTCCCAGCATCCATATGGTAGCTTACATCTTCCAGTTGCAGGGAACTTAAGGCCCTCTTCTGACCTCTGTGGGTTCCAGGTGCACACATACTACACAGATCTATATATGGAGGTAAAACACCAATATATACAAAATAAAATAACTTTTAGAAAAAAGATGGGAAGCCGGGCGGTGGTGGTGCACGACTTTAATCCCAGCACTTGGGAGGCAGAGATAGGCGGATTTCTGAGTTCGAGACCAGCCTGGTCTACAGAGTGAGTTCCAGGACAGCCAGGGCTACACAGAGAAACCCTGTCTCGAAACAAAAAGGAAAAAGAAAAAAGATGGGAAAGGTGAATTCATGTGGGTGTCTAGGAACAGAAAGACCCACCATTCATTTAGAAGAGACAGCTTGATCAACCAAAAGAGATGGTAGCACTCAGAAGCATTGGGTTTAAATTAGGATGGTTCAACTAGTATTTGCTGTAATCAGCTTACTGTCTCGGGGGAAAAAAAATCCTGCCTCTACCTTTTCCAATGACTATAGGGGATACGCTGAGGCTACGAACTATCCTGGAAGCAATACAGAAGCACATCCATTCTTCCTCCCTCATCTTCAAACTAGCTCAAGATGCATTCAAGATTGCTACTCCCACGGACAGCAGTACAGACAGCACTCTGCTCAACGTAGCCCTGGAGCTGGGGTTACAGGTACGAGTATGACACCACTGTCCCAGCTTTAGGTTTCTAGAGTAATGACAATTGGCAGAAGGTATTCCAAGAGGGATGAACATGAGCCATGTCTGAATCTTTTTGTCTTCCAGAATCTAAGTTCTATGGTAGACAGAAAGTAGGGACTCTATAAAAGTGGCCTCCATTTTAAAGTTAAGGCCAGAAGTAAAATAGTTTTAGGCACTATAGGGTCCCCATCTTCTCTATCTCTACCTTTCTCCAAGTCAATTAAGGTACAATAAGAGTCTTATCTCTTGTCAGTCTTGAGGAAGGCCTGTGTCTAGTGAGAGGGATAGGGAGAAATTAAACATATCCACACAGAGAGAAAAGACCACTAATTCAATAATGCAAACATTTGCTATTGAGTTGGAAATGTATCTCATTTGATAGAGTGCTTACCTACATGAAATAAGACTTAGGATGGACCCCTACCATTGCATAAACTGGGCATGGTGAGATACATCTTTAATGTTGGTGCTAAGGAGGTAAAGGTAGAAGGATTAGAAGTTCTAGGTCATGGAGAATTGAAGACATGAGACCCTGTCTCAAGCAAACAAAAAACTACCTACAGCATAAAAGAATAGTATGAGGTAGAAGGGAGGAGAGGATCTCACCCTTAGGCATAGCCCACTGGAAAGGCCTCTTTTGTGTCCAGGTGATGCGGATGACCTTATCAACCCTCAATTGGAGGCGCAGAGAGATGGTTCGATGGTTGGTTACTTGTGCTACAGAAGTGGGTGAGTCTCACATCTCCCTCTTCCCCCTGGGGAGTTTCTAGGCCCGACTTTTGGGACAGGACAGTGAATCCTTAGAGCAGTCATATTTCTATTCCTGGTGGCCTGGGAAAGGATGTGCAGTTAGAAGACAGCCTCCGTGTCAGCCAGCCTAAGCTCTCATTGCTTGGACCATATCCTGATGTCAACAGCACTTTGATGACCCTTTGTGATTAGAGAAATGTCTGAGAGAATGATTTCAGCCACCAGTCCCCATGTTCTCCCTAGGGAGGGAGTTGGCTCAGTGGTTTGGTCCCAGTCTCTATCTATGCCTCTGAAAAACCACAGACAACCTGGAGGCTTGGGAACCATTCTAGAACCCAAAGCCCCATCACAAGACTCTCCTCAAAGGCACTATGTCAGCTAGAACCCCTAAGGAAACCTAGGGCCCCACCTTGAGGCAGACAAACCTGGGGCTCTGTTCCTTCATCTTTATGAAGGGCTGAGAGTGTAGCAGATAGCTTCGGCTCTATGGGCTGGGTCTGGCCATTTGGAATGCTCCCCTTACTCTGGTTTGCCTCAGATCATCTCAGGGCTGCTAAGAAGTAGGGAGAACTCATCTGTAGGCCAAGTTCAGACCCCAAATCTGGGCAGACAGATTAGGACCAAGTAGCTACTGCTGACCTCAGGTTCTCCCTGACAGGTGTGCGGGCCCTGGTGAGCATCTTGCAGAGCTGGTACACACTCTTCACCCCAACTGAGGCTACAAGTATTGTGGCTGCCACAGCTGTCTCCCACACCACTATCCTGCGCCTCAGCCTTGACTACCCACAGCGGGAGGAACTGGCTAGCTGTGCTCGCACACTGGCCCTACAATGTGCTATGAAGGATCCACAGAGCTGTGCCTTGTCAGCTCTTACACTTTGTGAGAAAGACCACATTGCCTTTGAGGCAGCCTACCAGATTGCCATTGATGCTGCTGCCGGCGGCATGACTCATTCACAGCTCTTCACCATTGCCCGCTACATGGAGCTCCGTGGCTACCCGCTACGTGCCTTCAAGCTGGCCTCACTGGCCATGAGCCATCTTAACCTGGCCTACAACCAGGACACCCATCCAGCCATCAATGATGTGCTCTGGGCTTGTGCTCTCAGCCACTCTCTGGGCAAGAATGAACTGGCAGCTCTCATCCCCTTGGTAGTGAAGAGTGTGCACTGTGCCACTGTGCTTTCTGATATCCTGCGACGGTGCACAGTGACTGCACCAGGCCTGGCAGGCATCCCAGGCCGCCGCAGCTCTGGAAAGCTCATGTCAACGGACAAAGCTCCACTGCGCCAGCTACTGGATGCAACCATCAATGCCTATATCAACACCACACACTCTCGCCTGACACACATCAGTCCCCGCCACTACGGAGAGTTCATTGAGTTTCTGAGCAAGGCCCGTGAGACCTTCCTACTGCCTCAGGATGGTCACTTGCAATTTGCCCAATTCATTGACAACCTCAAACAGATATACAAAGGCAAGAAGAAACTGATGCTGCTCGTTCGGGAGCGCTTTGGCTGAGAAAGAGGATAACTTGCTGCTAGGCAGCCTGGGCTCCGAGGTCAGGACAAGGACTCTGAAACATCTGTCCACCCTGAGAGGACTTCTGGCTGAGCCAAAAGTACCACAGACCTAAGGATGAGGAGAGTCCAACTGTAGCCAGTATTCCTGCCTCAGCAAGCTTCTCACTCCAGCTCTACTGTTCTGGAGGAGCTGGACCCTGCAGACCGGTCAGAAGCCCCCACAACATGTCACCTCACGCCCCTGTACCCTGCGTGTCCTGGCCATTGGCCCCACTCCCTTGGCAAACACAGAACACTGTTCCGTCTCAGGGATTGCTTAACCAGAGAAAACAGAAGCATTTATGGTACTGTAAATACTATAGTATATGTGTTGTCAAGCATTGTAAAGCTCTAACTATTTATAATTCTGACTCTGATGTGACGGGCACTTAAAGTAGCTGTGGGTGGGAGGATAGGCTTGTTTTCTGAGGAGACTCACAACCATTTCTCAGGTTTCCCGTACAAAGTATATGCTGTTGGTAGTGGGGGCGGCAGGGAGAAAAATGGACAATTAAAATCCAAGTCTTGTCTGTGCAGAAACTGTGGCCTGACAATAGGACAACTAGCCTAGTGGTCATTGAGGAGCAGAGGTCACCAGCGAGCTTAGATATTTGTCTCACAAGCTTGTGAACACTGAAGCTCCTGCCTCTGCCTCACACTCAGGAGCCTGATGAACACATGAATAATAACAAGTGCAGGGAGGAGACAAAGGTCCAGGAAGCCACTGAGCTTACAAGATACATCTGCTCTGGTCACCTTTATGTTAGAGAATCTGCTTTCATCTCCAATTTGTATGAGTACATACCTGTATGAACATGTGTCTGTGTACAAAGATACACATATGCATACCTGTGTCAGTGTTGTGTGATATGTGTTAGACTGGGTTTCATTTGTGTATGATAATACATACCTAGTGTTAAGTGTACTCATGTCTTCATGTTTAGTGTATGTGTGTATCCTGGCTCACACGGGTACCTGTGTGTAAGTGTTTGTGTCTGAGTGTGTGCCTGCTGACCATGGTGTGTCTTTCATGTGAGTAGTCTCTACATGCAGTCTGGCAGTAACTTCACACTTGAGGATCTGCGTGAGTGTGCCTTCTTTCTGCCGACTCTCTCTTGCCCATCCATTCCTTATTTTCTTGCTAGCTGAGCACTGTTATGCATCTGTGTGCCTCCCGTTTACCTTCTCTCAGCAAACACGTTTCTAAGCACGTGTCCCTCTGCTCTTAAGACTGGCCACTTTCGCTCCATGGTTCTTTTTTAACACAACCTGATTTCTTCCTCCAACTCTCTACCTCAAACTTCCTCTGTCTACTTTCATCATAATCCCATTGGTAGCTCATTTGGAGGCTGAGGCTGGTATTCCTTTAGACTTGCCCTTCCTAATTTCTAGTTCTAGCCGATAAGCCCCATCTTAGCCCATGCTGACCTCCACAGTGTATCACGTTCGTACTACTTCATGACCCCTATGCTTAGCCTGGAATTGTAGGAGGTAGCAAGGGCATTCAGAAGACTCGGTCACTGTTTACTGTTTTGTGTCTTAGTTCCTGAGTTGGGTGGGGTTTGATAGGGAAGGGGTGGTGTAGCTAGAGTATGGACTAAGGACCTTTCTGTCAGATTTACTTTATTTTTCTCTTTGAAAACTACTTGTCATCTTTTTTATTCCAAGCTGACCAGTAAGTTGTATTCACTGTTCATGGCTACTAATGTGTTACTGTCCAGCCAAGGGCCCCTACACTGTCTCAGCCCAATGGGTTGGCGAAAAAGCCACTCCCATTTCTGTATCATGATTGCCCTTTTTTTTTTTTTTTTTTTTTTTTAGCAAGTATGTGAACTCAGTGCTTTTCTATGAATAAATCATGGATCACAAAAAACATTTTCCTAAAAGCAGAAATTGTGTTGTCAGTAAGTGAAGCCCTTCTCTCCTTTGATGGGACAGGGAGCTGGTTGGGCCTAAACAGAGATGTACACTAATGGACAGATGGAAGAGTCCTCACACCACACCCACGTCCGCGGCTCTAAGGTACATCTCAAAACCTTGTCCTAGGAAACGGTACTCTCCTAATATCCCATGATAATCAGGAGCAAAGATTCTGAGAAAACCAGTGGATATACTCAGAAAATAATGCAGAATGAACTTAAATACCTTTGGCTTCAGAGACCTTTTTACCTAAGGCTCCAATCCTAAGCAACTTAGCTTTGTATCTTTCTGCCCTCCCATACTATGGTATCAAAGCTAAAGTCTCCTTAGCTCCTCTTCCCCTCCTGAACTCTGAAGTGTTTTATGGTCTTCTGTGCCCCTTTTGAGCTATCTTCTCCTTCCTTAAGAGACACAAAGCCCTATGTTACAGGGACCCTGACCCTTGTCTATAAATGCCACACCCCCAACTAACTGGAAAGCTGTACCTAGTATCATCTCACTCCTGAGCTTGGATGGCTGATAGCATAAGCATAGTGTGAGCCTGGTGTTAATGCTGTAGTGCATGCTCACTTCTCCACTGATACCTGAGCCCAGACTTGGGAAGAATGCGCAGAGGAAGCCTAACAAAAGAACAATGGAGCTGGGCCTGGTCCTACAGGCCTTTAATTCCAGCACTTGAGAGGCAGGTAGATAGATCTGAGTTTGAGGCCGTGTGTGTGTGTGTGTGTGTGTGTGTGTGTGTGTGTGTGTGTGTGTGAGAGAGAGAGAGAGAGAGAGAGAGAGAGAGAGAGAGAGAGAGAGACAGAGAGAGAAGGGGTGGATGGACAGGAAGGGAGGAGGGGGGCTTCAGAAAGAACTGAGGATAAGGACATAAGCCTTTACAAACAAAGGAACAAGGTAGACTCCAACTCCTTTTATTCTCCTTGAAACAATCTGTGTTGGTGGCACTTGAGCAGAAAGGCATATACTTAATTCTGTCGAAGCAGACGTGAATGTTTGTGTACAGCATCCACAAAGGCTCCTACACGTTCTGGGTCCATGTCAGGGTAAAGCCCATGTCCTAGGTTGGCAATGTAGCGTTGTGGCCCAAAGTCATCCAGCATCTGCTGTACCAGTCGACCAATCTCTTCCTAGAGAACCAAGAGGGTACTGTCTAGAGGAGAGGTCAGCAAAGCTGTATCCTCCCTACACACACACACACACACACACACACACACACACACACACGTGCAAGAGTGCTTCCACACAGTGTACTGTCATTAACAATTTATCAGATGCCTCCTATGTCCCAGACACTAAGAAAATAGAAATGAGGAGCCTGTGACTTGGCTCGGCAGGTCAGGTGCTTGCTATGCAATCCTGATGACCTCAGTTCAATCACTAGGACCCAAAAAAAGTAGAAGAAAACTGACTCCACGAAGTTGTCCTCTAACCTCCTCATATGTACCATAGCATACAGACCCAACACACAATTATAATAAATATTACCAAAAAATACAAATGAGAGCTGGGTGTGATGGGGTATGTCCATAATCCTAGCACTTTAGGAGAGGCAGGAAGATAATAAGTTCAAGGCCAACCTCAGCAACACAGTGAGGTTGAGGCTAACCTGGGCTACATGAGACTGTTTCAAAAAAGGGAGGCAGAGTTAAGGACTTAACTTAGTGGTAGAAAGCTTGCCCAGGAAGCACAAGGCTCTGGGTTGGGTCCTTAGCTTCAGGGAGTGTCCATGGGGGAGGGGGGGGGAAACAACAGACAAATAGCCACAAAAATAAAATTTAAATTTTAAAAATATCCTGCTTTTTTAGAGTTTACATTGTGTGTACAGAATTGAGGAGAGGGGAAACGTGTAATAAAACTATACATACATGATCCCAACCATTGCACAGAGGAAACCTTGTACACACATGTTGAACCCAGTTATTACCTCAGATGCATACAAGGCACAGGGATCCAGATTCCCCTGCAGAGTCACTGTCTTCCCGACACGCTCCCTGGAAGCAGAGCCATTGCCACATTCTTACTGCATTATTTGGGGATTTTACCCCTCCACCTCAGCCTCTCCTGCCCAACTCCTCCGTCACTTACCGGGCTTTCTTTGGAGCTACTGTCCAGTCAAGTCCAACTACCTCATAGCCAGCCTGGGCCAGCTCTTCCAGGGCAAAATGTCCATCCTTAGCAAATATGATCTGGAGAGAAAGCAGATCTCTGATGCTAAGCCTTTCTTGGGTGTGCTTCTGCTGCCCTCCAGTGGTGATTTCAGTCTATGCAGGCTGAGTGCTGCACCCTTCACTCAACCTGTCCCAGTCCTCACCATGGGCACTGGTGCCAGGCCTGCCTTCTGCAATCCAGCCTTCACTCTCTTGGCCACATCACGGATGTAGGGCAGTGCAAATTTGCTGAAGAGCTCGGAGCCAAGATGTCCTGCATGGGACTCAAAGAGCTGCAATGCCTGTAAACAGGTGATAAGAAAAACACACAAAGAGGAAGTACCTCAGGCTCCACACACACATGATGTCTTAATTCTCCTCAGGTGACTTTAAACCCTGACACATTCCCCAAGGCTAGGAGCTCAATTCCAGTCAACAAGTTTTGCCTTAAAAGAAAATAGAAGCCAGCAGTGGTTGTGCACACCTTTAATCCCAGCACTTGGGAAGCAGAGGCAGGTAGATTAAAGTTTTACCTTCTCCAGATCCTAATAGCAGCTTCACACTCCAAACACTCAGACTTAAGCTCTGCTGACAGTTTCAGGAAGGGCTAAGAATCTAAATGGTCTCAACCCGTGGGTCACAACCCCTTTGGGGTGGAAGGATCCTTTCACAAGGATCACATAATAGATATCATACATATTAGATATTTACATTACGATTCACAACGGTAACAAAATTACAGCTATGAAGTAGCAACAAAATAATTTTATAGTTGGGGGTCACCACACCATGAGGAACTGTATTAAAGGAAGGTTGAGAACCACTTTAGATACTCTAACTAGATCACTGAAGGAAAAGTAACATCCCTGTTTTCTCCAGTTTAGGAAAC